GTGACACCGACAAAAATTTTTTAATAGCTTATGGTGAACATTTTTTCAGTGATACTTGAAACCTTTCGAGTATGCCTCTAATGATACCTTTTCATAATTAGCATATTCTAAACAACTGTTTTATGCAACTGATAAATAACTTTTTCTAAATATCATACAAGTGGCCTGTAGCACTCTACATGCAGTTCAAAAACTGTACTACATCAATATAACGAACAGAGAAATATACTAATCTTCATCAGACAATTTTCATACTATCTGCATTCATATTAATACTCTCATCAAAAGAAAGTAAAAAAATTAAGAATACAATAATTTCAAACTAATAAGCTAAAAACCAAACATACATTTACTTTTTTTAATATGTGATGTTTCAAAAGCTTGTAATTTCAAACCCACTCAGTCTATAGAAAAAAGCTAACACTATTCACAAATTAAAAATGACCAAAGCAATTTGTATGGCATTATTTTACAAATGCTTTGCTATTACATCTTCATTAAGGCATAAAATGTCCATTCTGCAATCAGCATTGCACCACTGTTAGCTTAAGAATATGCATTCATTGATCACTGTGATATTGGCTTTTTACTACTTGTGGTATTGCCAGATCCCAATCAATAGCTTGAGCATTACTACAGTTTTTCAGATTCTTCAGCAAAACACAATATAGCACTCCAGGATAAAAGGGAGTTACTCACCAAGACAATTAACTGATCAATGAACAGATTCTTTTCATAGCTATAACTTTTTTTTTGTAGAAATAAATGTTCATAACCTTCTAAATAACCATTTTTCTTTCTGAAACTCCTAATCACCTATCATGTTTGAAAGTAATCTATTCCAAAAGTTCACTACACTGTCAAAAATAAAACTGCCTAATTTGTAGACAAAATTCTACTCTGTCAATCTTGAATGTACGTTTCTTAGTCCTACCACTTTTAATAACTTTCTTTACAGTAACACCATGGAAATTAGATCAACAGTTTCTTGTCCTCACCCCCATGGAATCGGTACAGCCATATGAAGCATCATCATTTATGCTAATTGCTTAAGCTAATATCTTGTGAACCTAAACACTCTTTAATTAAGATAATTTCATACAATTTAGTAAATTTGTGCTGAAAAGTTGGCAAGGAATAATCAATAATAACCATCCAGCTGTATGATTCTTTGGAAAACTCGAGCTAGAAACTGTTAATCTAGTTTGCTTGGCCTAACCAATACTTATGTATCAGCACATCTTTTCTCCTTATAGTTTTGCTGCTCTAAATCAGCTGTCTTTAATCCAAATGACAAAAAAAACTAAAAATGGTCCACTTTTACTCTTAGGTTAGAGTGATAGATCACATGACTTTTTGTGGAGGCATGCTCAAAAAGTTTGGTCAAATTTGAGTTTTTTGATGAGTAAATTTGCACATGTAGTTTATACTTAGACCAAATGAGACTCTTAACTGTAGGTTGAAAAGATCTATCAATGTACCAAATTTGAAAAAAATCCATAAAAGAAATTTTCCGTACTTTTGTGCAAATTAACAAAAGGAAGAAACTCAATCAAAATTAGAGATGTTATATCTCAGGTATTTCTTAATGGATTGCCTTGAAATTTAGTATGTAAAGTAAGAATCTGGTAGTGCACATCCACTGAAAATATGTGATAGTTTGGATTACCACAGTTCGAGATACAGATAGTTTAAAATCACTAAACTGTCACTCCTGTTAATAACACACAGTGTGTCCTGCAGCAGGTTGTTTTGGCCACATAACACATTACCATGCATCTTGATTTCAGAGGTTCTCATTCAGCACAAAATACAAAACACAGGTCAATAAATTAACAGTGAAGATGTGAAAAACTTAATGGATCTCTTCACACACAAAAAGACATTTAAGCCAGATTCTACGCTAAACTTAAATGTAAATTATATATGATTACATAAAATTTAATGTAATTTAATGTAAATAAAAAAAGATGTATTTTTCATTATGGTAAAACTTAAACTAAAGCCTAGATAAACAGAATAAAACTACTGATAGTTATTAATCTCAAAGTGGGTTCCTCGTCATCGAATTTGGATACTGACAGTAATGTTTCTAGTAACAGTACTGCATAATCACTGATTATCAGATAAGGCCACTCAAGTCAATTTATTGTTTCCCATAACCTGACTGCATCCTCTTGTGCAGCCACACACATTTATTCATTATTTCTATACTTTTCATTATTATTAATTTTTATGTCACATGATTAACATGTATTTTAAAAGTGGTGTCAGTTGATAGTCTGTTGTCCAGGAAGACCCTGTTGGCCTGGAACATTGTTAATTTGTCTGAAAAAAAAAAGTATACCTTCCATTATTTTTCTGTGCTTCAATCCAACCACAAGTAACCACATGTGTTGAACTAGTGAAGGCTGAGGTTGGCATTAATAAATACTGGACAAAGTTGACTTAGACTTGTGTGTGGCATATGTTATTGAACCATATGTTAAGGTTTGTAAAGTATTCAGTGAAGGAGAGCTGCCAAGTAGTAGTAACGGTGTTTTTGTAAAACATGCCTTTGAGATTCTCATACATTCAGAATGAGCTTTGAAGTCCAAGCATTTTCCATACATTTACAGTTGAGAGAAACAAGAAAGACAAGTCGTACAAAGATTTGTTACACTTGCTGAGGTCAAAGGACTTGAAGATAGAGTCTAGTGAGGTTCATTCATGTGGAGTTAGACTAGTGCAGGCATTACGTGACATTCTCTGGTATATCAATGGACACCGTGAAGTTTTCAGACGAGGATCTACATCTGTGCCTGCTGTTTTCAGCTCCTTCAGGAACTACAATGTACCAGAAATTTCAAAACACAGAAAGTGTAAAAAGCAAAATCTGTCAAGAGACTAATTGCATCAGTTCACAAGCAAACTATCAACACTTTTACAAGCTAATACATGGGAAAAAAGAGAACACTGGTGTGATTTCAAGGTGGATGTTGAAGGTCTTGCGTATTACTTAGTTGGATATGTAGAATATTCACTCAGAAGAATAAAACTTTAAAGTTTCACCACACCTCATGCACACCAGTTTGAGAATTGTAAAGCAACATTCGACTGAAATTCATTCCTACTTCAACCATCATTGTGATGCCATCTTCTTTGACTGCTATTGAGGATTGCATGCACTCGAAGGCTAATTTTGAATACTGCTCAATTACTGATTTGCTACCGTCAAATCCAACCAAAAAGCATTGCACTGTAGATACTTTGACCACAACTGTTTTCAGTTTCCTTGGGTACTCCTTATTTACTTTCCAGGAAGTAACATTAGCAATCACCACTTTCTTTGGAAAGTTCCAACTGACAATGATCCATCTACTGTCTTTGAAAGGAGTTTACGTGTGGTCAAATCATGGACAAGTTTATGTTTTGCCCAAAGACACAACCATTGAACCATCATCCCCCATTTAAGCACGCACTTAAGCTGTACCAAGTTCTGCAGTCAGCATTGCTTACTAAATCAATGCTCTTTTTATATTCTGATGGAGGGCCAGACTCTTAACTTACATATGTGTCGGCACAGCTATCATTGGTTTGCCTTTTTTTTCAAGCTCGATCTTGACTTCTTATCTGCTGGTTAAACAGATAAAGTTTATCATTCTTATTGCAACCCTACAAAAAAGATCATGGCCATACTGAATTTAGGTTTGCAGTGAGTGGGGTTAGCCAGAGAGAAAGTGCCACATGACTATGAGAAAGAGGTTGCCTATGCAAAGATAGCCTATCACCAATGAAGATCTTGCTCTGCAAAACTTTTGCTTGTTTGCAGCTTAAAGGAAAATCAATTCAAATGTATGTTTCAGGAACACCTCAGGAAATTAGTGAATTCTGGACAGAAGTCATAGCTTTGGAAAGCACTCTAGAAGTGGGTGGAACTTATGTGGAGAGGAACATTGAAGAACACAAGAATATATCAGAATTCTTTCAGCATTGTTGCCAAATGGGCCACTACACATTTGATATTCTCAAATGGAAATGATACATATAAGCTGTGTAATCATGTCCCCCCCAACCAAGATACTGTTTGATCACATTAAACATTTTCTATTTCCTGTTCCTGCTGAAGATGTATAGTATCTTTCATTTTCCCAAGTTTTGGGAACGGATACAAATGAACAGCATCAAACTTCCTTTAAGCAGAAACCATCTAAAAAAAAGTCCCTCACTTTTTGCTAGTGTGCACCATGCAAAATATTCACGGCTGATGGTGCAGTGTGAAGAGTGCAACATGTGGAGACTCATTAACTCAAAGCACAAGCTCAATGTTATAAAGCATTGTCAACTTCAAAAACATCTGGATGACTATTTATATTCTTGTGGTGCCAAGCTTGAGGAGTTGAATCTCAGAGATGAATTCAAAGATGTGGAAATCAAAGATCATGCATGTGGGGATACAAATGAAAAACTATATTACTCAGCAGGTTTTGAACTGACATGCATGTACTGTGCAGTTGAGCAGTCATACACATCATCTGACTTGTACCCACAATGTGAAGCATGCTCCCATCTGTCACCAGTAGAGAAGTGACTATGCATTTTGTCCCATTTGTAGTGTTTTTTTAATGTGTATGTTTTTCATAGTGCAATTACTGTTTGGGTATTGTAAATTGTTCTCAAGTGGCTTTTGGTAATAATAAATAAGGAATAATAAACCACCTTCCCACATACACTTGAAGCTCTGATGTAATGGGAAACAATGAATCAACTTGGAGTGGCCTAAATTAAGGTTTTTAATTTAATGTTAAGTTACTACATGACATTACCAATATTGCTGCCTGTGTTAAGCAAAACTTAGGCTCTTGGTCTACATTTCACAGAACAGCAATTTTACAATTAATACACAAGACTAAACAGAACTGTAAGTTGTAACATTAGAAAGACTAATCTTTATTCTTTAGAGGTAAGTTAAACTAGCGTTTGCGACAAGTTAGTCTAAGATATTCAAACAGGCAGGATTAAGCCGTCGTTTTACCGTGAGTAACCTTATGACTCACGAATCTTAGAAGTTACATATTACTTACACTACAGACTTACAATTACATGTTATATCACCATAGACATGTAATGATGTATACGTCTACGGTTATCAGTTACGATAACTCTGAGTAAGTTACACAGACGTTCATGCTACGGTACAGTATATATAATACAGTAAAAATTAGCATAAAACTATAAATAAACTAAAATACGCATCCGTTAGTACAGATAATAAATGATCTTTTAAGTTTTGTTAATATTTGAAAATAATAATAATAACGTAAGACACACCTGACTGTGATACAGGTAGTAGAATAGCACTCCCTGCCATTTGATCCCACGAAAATCCAGATCCAGGGGGTTGAAGTAGTAGCGAAGCAACATTTTTATCATTGCCTTTTCCTAATCCAGAACCACGTCCAGCCATACTTGACGCGTAAATCTTACGATGTACAAAGCGGAAGTAAATACCCGGAAAACCTATTAAAGTGGTTCATGAACATTCAATCAGGGGTCGTTAGTTAAATTAACATTTGTAAAAGCAAAAGGGGTGGAGAACACAGAAAATATAAATAATACAAAATTATCTGAGGGAAAAACTAAATTTTCTTTACTTTTAATAATTTCAAAAGCAGCTTATGAAAAGTGTATGAAATCAAACAATTATTGAATTTAAATGTGTTATTTCAATTCGTTTCCTGTCATTTATGAACAAGATAAAATCAGCAATAATAAGTCAATGCTGTATACAATAGCCCTCGTGTAGCTTTGCGCGAAATTCAAAAACAAACAAACAAACTTTATAGAATAAAAAGAGTTTACAATAACATTTCAACCACACTGTGTCAGCAGCATCCAAACTGTGTTGTATCCCAACCTTTCTGATATGTTCTGTTACTGAGCGAAATTGGTCGTCGGCAAGAGATATGGCGATCATAGTGTGGTTGAAATATTATTCATACAGTCTTCTTCTTCTTTAAAAACTCTTAGGGACTGAATAAAGAATGTAATATTAAAAAATATAATAAACCTAAAGAACTATAATCAATTATTATATTCATTGTTTAATAAAATGTGACCTTTAATTAAAATTTACTTCCAAGTTCTTATTCATATCGCAGTAAAATTGTATGTTAATTGGTAAAAGCCACGCACGTACGCAGGAGGAGGTGGCTCGACCAAACCCTCTTTTTTTGTGACGTAAAATAATTACGCTTACATAGTTATAGCTCAGATGCTTATGATATTTAATGTTTTTACGTTCTACATTGTTCTGATGAAGTATTAGCATTTTTTGGCTTGAAACAGTAGCATGCAATGTCTTCTGTTGATACTTTGTAATTGGAATTCCGAAGCCGTATTGCTACTGTCAGGTTTTGTAGGCCGGATTCTTTACAGTAGGTTTCTGTTGGCGATAAATTTCAACAATAAACTAACAGCAACACAGTCCACTTATTTTAAAATAATATACCAAAACATGTGAAACGTATATAGAAATGTTCCTTACACTGTTGGTTCTCACAGTTGTATCGAGAGCTTTAAATAATTTTCTCTTTTTTGTCAGAGTTCACACAGGTTGGTTCAATTACTTTAGAACACAACTGATAAAACGAATTATTCTTCTCTGCTCTGTTATTACAATACAGTCTGTGATAATTTCGCTTTAAAAATCGCCACTATGCACTCTTTATTGCTAAACTCATAATCACAATTTATGGATTATATGTGAAAGCCATGCAATTGTTTAAGGTATTTTTCATCCAAAATTGCTTCCAGATTTACTCTCATAGCACCTATTTTTTAAAAATTTTCTGGGGGGCATGCTCCAGACCCCCCGTAGCATTAGAATGTTTAGCATGCTGATTATGCTTCGCACAATATTTGTTGGCTTTTGATCTCACAAATTAGAACTCCCCTTTCAAATATTCTGCATACAAGCCTGAAAGCATTGATTCTTACTGATATTTTCTTGAAATTTTAAAGGGAAAAAAGTTTGTGAAATAAGGAAAAATGCAGTTGTGATAAAGATGAATAATAATTATACTTTGAATTTACTTTAGTTAAATTTATATCAGTTTGTTTTGTTGAATTGCGTGCAAAGCAACTCAAGGACTATCTGCACTAGTTGCCTCTAATTTAGAAATGATATATTGGAGAGAAGGAAAGTAGTCAATACCACCAACTCTTGGACTACTTTAATTGAACAGAAGGACTGACTGTCATATTATAACGTCTTCACGGCTGAAAAAAGCGAGCTTATTCAGCGACGGGATACGAATCTGTGATTTGCAGATTGGAGTCAAATCTATTAAGCACAAGGTCATGCCAGGCCGCTTATTTCAGATAAATAATTATTTTGATATTTTCTTTCATGTTGGGTAACAAAAGCAGATTTATAGTGGAAACAGCCTGTGTGGATTTCAGTGATTAGCAGAATTAACTGCCAAACGTTGAAAAAAGACGAGTTTTTTTTATTAACAGGAACAAAAACAGCTGTTGATGGCACCCAAGGTATGTTATGAAAAAGAAACTTTAGTTTTTATATTTCATCATAAACACAGTTAAAATTATTTAACTTGACTACACACTAAAATTGCTGTTTAGTATTTGCAATTCTACATCACTTGGGCAAAGATATTTGTTTAATTTAATGTTATTCTTTGCACATGTCAAATATGTGAAATAAAAGCCTGAATGACTTAAAAAACGATAAAAACTTTCTTTTTATAGGACTTAAGTGTTTTGGTAATTGAAAAAGTTACTCATATCTGGAAAATAGGGTTGTAAATGCAAGGGATATTTGGTTGTTTGTCAGATATTAATGTCTATTTGGTAGAATTTTTAGTCATTACATTTTCCAACATTTTCCCTATATATTGTATCACCAGTTTGACTTCCACAAAAATGCCTAACGTTAAGAGCAGCAAGTTGTTAATTCATATTGTTACGTCTCCGTTTGTTAATTGATTTTCCGTAAATTCGTTCCGACGAAACTTTAGTGACACAAGTCCTTACTTAATAAAACTGGTTTATTCTTTCCGAATATAACTTTACCGATACACTCAACTTCAACAATCGCGCTAAAAGAAACGCCATAACAACGAACGTGCTCAATAATACTTTCTCACTGCAGATCAATTACTCACTGTCTACACACACATTGTCCTGTCACGTTGTCACCATCTTTTATATACCAGCCTACCCTATATCTAGTAAATGCTAGGGCATTCACCAAGGTACAGGATAGTTCTAGAAACGTGGCTTGACACTAGTCATGTGACCTCGCTGACGCAACACTGCCCCTTCCTTAGTATTGTTCGTCTCGAACAATACCCACATACAATAAACCAATAACAATTAACAATAACTTAATTAAATGTACAGAATTACAATAACGAAATTACAATTCAATAAAGTCTCTTGATTTTACGGGACGTATCTTCTTCCGTACTGGTCTCCGTCTTGTTGGCTTCTGCTTCATGTGGGGTTCATCTGCTTCATCAGGAAATGTCCTATCGTCGGTAACAGTCACATCAGTGGTAGTAACTTCATCAAGAGTTTCATCGTTTCCCTTCTCAAAACTGAGTAGAGTTTCTTCTTCGACGGTGGCTTCTTCATGTGGCACGTTTTCAGCAGCGTCATTTGTTCTGTTGTCCACTTCATCCCAACTGAAATGTCCTGGACCATGATAACGCCAAAGCCTGTTGGCATGCACCACTTTTGGCTTACCTCGCCAACCACATTTTATCCGGAAAGTCACGTCTGAGAGACGATCCACTATGCCATATGGG